GCCGTGAGATGTTTGAGAGTCAAACACAGCGGCTGCAGAGAAGGACACAGATGTTTGTTGAGTTTTGGTTCTGATGTGGAGTCCAGACGCTCTCACTGAGTCTAGGGTCACAGGTCAAAGGTCACACTGATCCTGGTCCTGGTCCCGGTCCCAGTCCTGGTCCCGGTCCCAGTCCTGGTCCCGGTCCTGATCTGGGCTCGTTTATGTTTGTGTGTTTGTGCTAAAATGTTCTTCATTTCTTTCTGTAAATGGTTGCGTTTTAAACACACTCGTCTGTTTTGTTCTGTGTGTGATTCTGGGGGAGATTTGCTTGTTCTGCCTGTGTGGGTTTAAAGTTTGTGTCTTTACAAAAAAAAAAGAAAATAATAAAAACAAAAGCAGGAGGAAATATTTCAGAAGGTGTTTCATAAAAACTGAAATGATGTGAAAGAGTTTTGGTTTGGACTCAGCTCAGAGCCGCTCCACGTCACACAAACTCTGAACTACGTTTGACTCTCAACAAAGCACCTGCCCCTGCACCTGTCTGTGCTCCTGCCCCTGCACCTGTCTGTGCACCTGCCCCTGCACCTGTCTGTGCTCCTGCCCCTGCACCTGTCTGTGCTCCTGCCCCTGCACCTGTCTGTGCTCCTGCCCCTGCACCTGTCTGTGCTCCTGCCCCTGACAGCAGAAGTGTCCCTGTCCTGCAGGTGCATGTGACAGGGACATTTCTGTTGTGAGTCTTTGAGTCTTTGTTTTTCTGTCAGACACTTAAAGTTGCTGTGAGCACAAATACTCCTGCCGCGCCGGTCGAGGGGTCGGGGGTCGGAGGGTCGGGGGGTCGAGGGGTCGGGGGGGTCACTGGGGTCACTCCTCCTTCAGTGTTAGACTCAGGAAAGTTCCGCATTGTGTCTTTGGGGGTGAACATGTCTTTCTGGTCCAACTCTTCGTCGTACGTGGTCTTGTCCATGTACTCGGACTCGGGGCCTCTGCGGTGGCTCTACTTCGTGGTCCTGGCGTGTTTTTACGCTCTGGCGCTTGTGTGTAACCTGCTGCTCCTCTTCGTCATCCTGGTGGACCGAAGTCTTCGTCAGCCCATGTACGTGTTCCTCGTCAGCCTCTTCCTCAACGACGTCCTGGGAAGCACCGGCATCTTCCCGTTCCTCCTGTCGGAGCTGCTGCGGGACGAGCACGTCCTGTCGCACTCGCTCTGCTTCCTCCAGATCTTCCTCGTTTATCAGTACGCCAACACGGCCGTGCTCACGCTCGCCGCCATGTCCTACGACCGCTTCGTCGCCATCTGCTTCCCGCTGCAGTACCACACGCGCCTGTCGCCTCGCGCCGCGCTCAGGATGGTGACGGGCATCTGGGCGTTTGTGGTGCTGGAGGTGGGCTTCATGGTGTCTCTGAGCGCCCCCTTGAGGCTGTGCGGGACTCACGTCTCTAAAGTTTACTGTGATAATTACTCGGTGGTGAAGCTGGCGTGCGGAGACACCACCCTGAACAACGTCTACGGGCTCCTCTACACCTGCCTCATGCTCCTGTCGGTGCCCGCGCTCATCCTCTACTCGTACGTGCGCATCATCAGGGTTTGCGTGAGCAGCAGCAGCGCCCGCCGCAAGGCCCTGGGCACCTGCGCGCCGCACCTGGCCTCATTCCTCAACCTGGCGTTCGGTTGCTTCTTCGAGGTCGTCCAAAGCCGTTTCAACATGGAGGCCGTGTCAGACACGGTGCGCGTCTTCATGTCGCTCTACTTCCTGGTCTGCACCCCGATCTTCAACCCGCTGATCTACGGCCTGAACCTGTCGACCGTCCGCTCCAGCTGCAGACGCCTGCTCCAGCGCCGCCAACGCTCCAGATAAACTCCACCAAACCAAGACAAGCCTCAGTCCCTCGCCCCAAACCCGCCCAGACCCGCCCAGACCCACCAAACCCGCCCAGACCCACCCAAACCCGCCCAGACCCGCCCAGACCCACCAAACCCGCCCAGACCCACCCAAACCCGCCCAGACCCGCCCAGACCTGCCCAAACCCGCCCAGACCTGCCCAAACCCGCCCAGACCCGCCCAAACCCGCCCAGACCCACCAAACCCGCCCAGACCCACCCAGACCCACCAAACCCGCCCAGACCTGCCCAAACCCGCCCAGACCCACCAAACCTGCCCAAACCCGCCAAGATCTGCCTAAACCCGCCCAAACCCGCCCAGACCCACCAAACCTGCCCAAACCAGCCCAGACCCGCCCAAACCCGCCCAGACCAGACCAAAACCAAACCCACACGAGCTCTGCATCTGTTGCTGCTAAAAAAAAGCACTTTATGTATAAATGTTTGTGTGTGTGTGATGTACAAATGTGCAATAAAAATAAACCTTAAACTGAATAAACGACTCCAAGATGAACGACTAAAGTGTAAAAACCCTCGACAGGTGCAGACGGGGCTGTAAAAACCCTCGACAGGTGCAGACGGGGCTGTAAAAACCCTCGACAGGTGCAGACGGGGCTGTAAAAACCCTCGACAGGTGCA